GTCTCCAGGTTAGACACCTGTGCCCCATCTTCATCTTTTCTTCTCCACGTGACCACATGCCCTTTCTTATGTCGATTATTCAGTCCTTTCATTGTCCACAGGTTTGCTTATGTCCCCATTACGCTGCTCACCCCAGCAATCCAAGCTAACCACTTCCATCGTTAACCTTGCTTGAAGCGATGACTGCGGACTGCAGACAGCTTAAAGCACAGAGACTTTTGGAGTGCTACAGGAACTGTAGAATGTTAGCAACATCGAACACTGGGCTTCCCTTCAGTGAGATTTGTCACTCTGTCATTTCCTGTCCGAGAGACATTCACCATGCCTACCCGATCATAGTGATATGCCCGGACCTAGGGGCACTGTAGGTGCTTAATAAATGTGTGTTGACTGAGTGGCTTATTGACGGATGGCTTCCATGTTCCCCGTGGAAGAACCTCAGTCTAGAGGGGAAGGAGGAGCCTCCTCCCCTGTTCCATTGCTCTTCCAGGATCCAGGATAAAGAGCTGAGGTGCTCTCGCTACATGCGTACAAACGAGAGATCATGGGTTTTTACTCTGTAACTTTCTCTAGAGATTCCTTTGACCAAGGAGGACACAAAGTTTGAACAAGTGTGACCAAATTCCTCAAAGAGTGAGTGATACCTGAACCCAGGTATCAAACCTGCAGGTCAGTGTCCTTGCCTTGGACAGTGTCCAGAGGCAGGGTGGCCCAAGGGCTCAGTCCACCTCCATCTAGACCAGACTGGTTTGGTGTGAATACAGCCCCACCTCCTCAGAGCCCTGTGACTTTGGGCCTTGGTTTCCTCAGTGTGTAAACAAGGCCCAGTGGTAGTACCTATTTCATAGGGTTACTCTGATTGAGGGGGATTGACACTGAGCAGGGCCCCGTGGGGCTCCTGGGCACAAAGACTTTCAGTGTCCCCCATTTCTTTGATTACAGGAAATAGGCTTCATTCAGCCTCCATGACCTTCCCTGAGTTCCAATGGGCAGATTCAAGCAGTTGTTAATTAGGGAAGGGAAGGAATGGGAGACAAGGGAGGGACACTCAAGAGAAACAATAGTGCCGCCTTGGGGCAAGGTCCTGGTTCCCCGCCTTGGGGCAAGGTCCTGGTTCCCCATCAACAGGACACAACAATATCTTTGAGCTGTTTTGCAGATACGCCCTCCAGGTAGGAAAAGTTCCCACAAGCATGTAGAACCCAGACCAGTTGGACCCAGAAGGTTGATGATGCCAGCTCCCACTTATCTCACCACCAACCAATCAGAAAAATGTCCACAAGCTGATCACACCTTCTTTGAACCATTACTCTAAAGCTTCTCGCAACCCTCTCCAAGGGGAGCACAGTTTTTGGAGGTGCTAGCCTGCTGTGTTCCCTCTTTGCCTGGCAAAGAAATAAAGCTGTTCTTTCGCTTTCCTCCTAAATTCTGTCTCCGTATTTCTATTTGGCATTGGTGTACAGAAGCCGAGATTTCAGCAACAAGATCTTAATACGTATAAGAGTATTTACGAGGGCGGTTGACGAGTAGGAAGCATTATGCACATGGCAGCCTTTATTAACAAGGAGGGCTGCATGGTGTGTATTCTGCCTGCTCCTCGGGGAGCCTGGAGGCCAGGGAATCTGAGACATTCCGGACCTCAGCAGCAAGGGAGCAGTGGAATTAGAAGCCAGGCCACTTGGGCTCCTGGGGTGCCCTGGGGGCTCCAACATGTCTACCCCTGAAACCGAGTGGGGCCTGGGCACGGAGGCCTCTTTTTGTCCCCCGTTTCTTGTAAGCAAGACTCCAGCCTCCATGACCTTCCCTGAGCTCCACAGGGCAGACTGGAACAGTTGCTAAGCAAGGGAGGGGCAGCCAAGGAACCACCTGAGGCGAGATTAAAGGGACCAGAGAGGCCCGTCAAGATTAGGAGACGGACCAGCTGAGACCCTGCACACACCCTCATCTTGTCAGCAACCCCGCCCTTAAAGTATTGTTATAAAACTTCTCAGCACGTCCTCCCGGGTGGGGGGACACACAGTGTTTCGGTGCGGGAGCCCACTGTGCCCCCTTTCGCCTGGCAAAGTAATAAAGCCATTCTTTTCTTCTCCGCCCAAAACTCTGTCCCCGAGATTTGATTCACAGAGAAGCTGAGCTTTCGGCATCCCCCCCCTGCCCCTATCCCCGTTCTTAGCACTGTTCAGTCCGAGTGAACGCCTTCCCTTCTCTGAGCCCCGGCTTCCTCACCTGAGCAGCGGGAGTGGTCCTCTCTGCCCTGCTACCTCAGGCAAAAGGGATGGGCGAGAAGGTGCTTTTCGACAGGGGGGGTAAAAGCTTTCACAGTTGCTTTCCGAAGAGCGAGCTGTGTTCGGGGAGGGGGGGGGAGAGCTTTGAGCTGCAAATGCTCCTCCTGTGAGAAATTGCCGAGGATCTGCTTCTTAGGAAACCAGGTGACCTCGAGTGGCGGCCAACAGTCCACTTCATGGGCTCCATCTGCGCCCACAGCGGTCGTGGCAGAGCGCCCAGGCCGGCGACACCGACACCCGGGCAGCCGGGAAGAGGGGGTGACATCTGCGCGGGGGCGGAAGCGGTGCGGCATTTATATTTGGAAAACAATATGCATTTGTCAGGGTTTGCTCTTTCTTTTCTAAATTCAGAACATTTGGGGAGAGAACAAGAGAGAGGAATATTGATTTCCGCTCCGGGAGAGGATGATGGATGGCAGAGACGGCAGGAAACACGGACACTTCCCCACCTACCCCTCCCCATCGACTCCATCTCCGCCGCCGCCTGGCTGCCACGCCCCTCGCCTCCTTCCCTGCCTTCTGATCTGCTGTCACTCTCTCCCTTTCCTCCCTCGTGGCCAAAATGAAGTTGCTGCCAGGGTTAGAAGGAAAAACTCAACATGCCCCACCCCACTGGACTCCTAGAAATTTCACCGAGGTAGAAGACCCCTGAAATTTGTTGGGTTTATTTCCCACCCCCAGGCATGTAAATGTCTTACCAATAAGTCTCGAGCAGGTGCTACTTTTTTTTTTTTTTTTTTTTTTTTTGT